GACGACGACGACAACGACGACGGCAACGACGACGACAACAACAACAACAGCAACAGCAACAGCAACGACAACAACAACAGCAACGACAACAGCAACGACAACGGCAACGACAGCGACGATACCAAAATAGCAGCAACAATATCAACAACCTCAGGCAACACTACCAACACAAAAACAACAACAGCAATTATTGCAACGTGAGAATTTAAAATATTTTGAAAAAAATATACTTACAGATTTCTGGATTTCAGCTTTAGATATTTACGGTAACTGCAATGGCATACCACGCTTGGTCGTTTCAAAAATGCGATATGCCTCGCATGCAGGGAGGCTGGACGTTGTTTTGGCGAAACGTAATACCTTCCCTTCTTTCCGAAACGTCTTGCATTAACACATAAATTACCGACTAAAAAGAAAGATTTCAAAAAGTGAAGGGTTAAGCACTACATATACACAGTGCTCAACACCGGGGTAGAACAGGATTAGAAGGCAAATGTGAGTTATTTCATAAGAACTTTATTTCCCTACAAATTTGTTTCATATCTGACAAGCGAAGCTTGCCACACGAAAACAAATTGAATTCACCTTCGCTTGTTGTATGAAATAAATTTGTAGTGAAATAAAAGTTCATATGGTATAAAACCAAATAAATAAATAAAAAAGTAAAACAAGAATAACTTAAAGAACTTATTAAGAACTTATTAAGAATAACAAAGAACTTATTAAGTACTTATTTCAAAGAACTTATTAAGAATAACTTAATGGAAAGAAAAACTAAGATTATTTGTAATAACTCAATAAAACAACTTAATAAGTACTAGTTATTTGTAATCCGGAGAACTTGAACGAATCTTATTTAATGCCTATAATATACAGCTAATTCAAAAAAGGTTGTCCTTTGCAAACCTTAAACTCTCTAAGCGTGCAAAGCATAATGGGAACATAATTTAATCAGTTTAGAAATCATATATGGCGCCCATTTCAACTTGTTCTCCCATTAAGCTTTGCGCGCTTAGAGTTTAAGGTTTGCAAAGAACAACCTTTTTTGAATTGGCTATATAACCATTTAACAAACAATTAAGCGAACTCCGTAAAGGACCTCAGGGGAAAACTGCTCAGAAAAGTGGCAGTGTTTTCTAGTATAAATATAAATTTGCTGAATTGAACGTCCAATTTCGAATGAAAGTGAAACGAACGTCATAAATTATATTAGCCTACATATATATATATATATATTCGTTTTATATGTAATAAAATGTTGAGAAAACTATCGAGAATGTTATGGTTTGATGGCCTTTACATGCAAGGCATTGATTTACACGGATGCATTTAATTATAAGCATTTGCTGACAACAAGTTGTACTAATAAAACATAATTGATATATTGATATATACCTCTGCTCTTTGAAAAACTAAAATAAGAATATAGAACAAATGAATGTACTACCTGTTATAAGAAGAATCAGGCCAAAAATAAATGAGGACAAGCTCATGATCTTGATTTGTCGTGATCCAAAATGCGATTCTTCTTGCCCACAATTTGTTAAATTAACGGATGTTTTATTGTCAACAGAAGAGGAAACAATAAAAGCGATCGACAATAAACGTCTTGTTAAATTGGCCGTTTAAAGAATGACAGCTTCACAAAATAGCACTTGCAGAAATCGCTGTCGGACACACAGACGACCTGCCAGAACAAAGCTGGACGGCTTAATCAAATTGCGACGTTGAAAATAAGAAATATTTCTATTTTACACAATTTTGTTCATTCGAGATCGTTAATTAAAACATAATGTGACTATATATTCAATTTCTACGAGATTTCCACGATTTCTTGCGAAAGTAAAATTTTCAAGTTTAATGGATTAAATATGGACTTCCTATATACTCAGCGTGAGATTTTGAAATGATATTGTATTACACAGAAATTAATGATATTGTATTATTAATTTATTAAGTAAAAATTGTTAAATGTATACTTCATCAAAGTATATATATAAAATACGGTAAATACTGGTCAATTAGTATATAATAAGTTTGATATTAAGCATACAAACAAGAAATGATAAATTATAAAAAGGCAGCCATACACATAGCAGCCTACTTATATATTAAATATTGCGCGCAATCTTAATAGCTTGATGTTAAGTTAAATGTGGCTAATGGTTTTGCGTCTTGTCACAAAAAATGTCGTCAAATTGTGCATATTGTTATTTTTGCCAAATAAATAAATTCCGTCAAATGAAGATTTGATATGAAAAATATCTTCCAATTTGTACGTGGCCGCAATTTCTGATCGAGACTCAGTATCTGTATACAGGGTGTATAAAAAATAACTGAACACATTTGAAATTGCTCTAAATTTTGCATAACAGCTATTAGTATCCAGTTTTTTTTTATATAGATAGCTTCTTTTGGTACTTATAATGTAGAACCAACTAAAAATGGCTTGCGCACGAGATTTAAAAGCTATAATCGTATTTTGAGTTAATGGGTAAAAATTGCATCAGTTTAAGCCCTTCAACTATTCACGCAAACTTACATTTTTCCTAAAATTTCAGCCATTTGCATGTTTAATTAATGCATTTGCCTAATTTGCATATGTTAGCAATATGCAAATTAGGTAGACGCATTAATTGAGCATGCGAAAGGCTGATTTTTTTAGGAAAAAATGGATAGTTAAAGGGCTTAAACTAAGGCAAATTGTCTGAAATTTTGTACAGTAATTAAATTTAATAAAACGTTATATGTAAGCAAATCTTTCCGAGTTTACCATCTCATTCCAGAAATACTTTCAAGAAACAATATTTTAGAAAATTTGCTAGTTTTCCTAAGGCCTTATAAAGTTCCTAATATATTAGAGGGCTATTGTAACACTACTGATTGTACAGTCAGTAATTTCCTATAACATGTTTTTAAATGTGAACTGAAAACTCTCAAAAACAGACGCAAGCTTTTAAAACGATAAAAACTAACATTTGTGAAAAAATATTCATATTTATTTACATCTCCAATTTGCTATTGACATGTTGACTACACAAGCATTCCTAGATTTCTAAATTAGCTACAGACAGTACATTACGATACTCGCTAGAAAAATGCAAAGAAGTTTACGTGGTACTAGGGGTAACATATGTACATCAGTTGTTTTCAGTGGCAAGTGAAGGTCATATCGACAGTTTGTCCTGGGTCTAGCCGGACGACCTGAGTGTGACTTCTGGGGGCGCCCCACTGACCAGCAGTGACCGCATACGTGCCAGGCGTTAATTCGACATGAACGTCTTCCGATTTTTGAAGCTGAAAAATTTTAAATAAGGTAGTTGGAAAGTATGTTACTTTGAGACTATATAGCCCGTATTCTAAAAGCTCACTCACACTCAATGAGTGTGGAAGTTCAATCTGAGCTTCTCTCGAGTGTTATTGCTGTTTTTGAATTGCTGGAGGGTTAGTGTCATACCTTACTATGTGACAACTCACCCTCTAGCTATTCAAAAACAGCACTGACACTCAAGGGAAGCTCAGATTGAACCTCTACTCATTGAGTGTGAATGAGCTTTTAGAATACTGGCGTATATATACACTATATACCGGGTGTCCCCAAAAAACTGGACACAGTTTTATTTCATGTAAAGTAAAAGCTATCCCAATAAATTAATAAATCACTGCATTCAGAAAGGATTAACCAGGGACGCCAGAAATGGGGGGGGGGGGCGGAGGGGCAGCCGTCCCCGTTGCCCTTTACCAGGAGGGGCAAGGGGGGCAAAGGTGCCCTTTCAATTTAAAGGATTGCCTTGGCGAAATAGCGAATTGTCAGAAATGTTAGTGCAATTCTTTTACGAATTTGCTTCAGAAAACGCAAGAAATGCAGTCATCGAGCTTCAAGAATACCACAATCGCCTGGCGGAGAACCCCCTCACACCCCTATCATCCAATAAATAGAAAACATGTTTAGGCGAAGTTCAACTCCTGATGTTTAGCAAACATCTCTTAGTATACAGTATATATGTCAATTCAAAAGTGCCTTTTCACGAAAATCTGCCCCCCTTGCCTTCACATTGTTCCGGCGTCCCTGGGATTAACTTTGATATATAACAATTGACAGCGCAATGCAATATTAACTGCGCTATTGATGTTTGAACGTTGAACTACTAGCTATGTAGTACAGACACTGTTTTTGAAAAGCGGATCAATTTTCTCACGCATAAGACAACAAGAAGCTAGCTTGGGTGCCTGGACGGCTTGGCTTCACAAAAAAAAACAAAGATATTATGTTGTATACACTCACTGGATTTCCATACGTGACGGACGTGTACTTGGGTTGATGGAATCTCTTGACATGCTCATCATCACACGCGTCACGGTGAGGCGAGCATTTAAAATATCTCTATATGTAAATAAAAGAAAAACTAAATTTATATTTCCTGACTTTATATTGATAATAATAAAAGCCCATCCTTATACCAACAAAAGCTTGTTCGTATGTATAAATATATGTAGAATTATAAATGCTCAGATGAAGAACATGTACTCAGAACATTCATAATCAGCTAGATGATCAAACTGATTATCAATTTCCATTTGTAATACAAAATGACTGAAATACGGCAAACTTCACAAGGCTATATTATCCGCATTTTACAACATTTCGCAACGAAACTTCGGAATGTTACTAATTTTGTGATGGGAAAAGGTCTATTCAACGTGCTAATTAATCTTTACCATTCTAAACCATTCAAAAACCATTGCCCATTGGTGGAAATTTATATTTTTCTCTGTGTATTGGCAGATAGTTTGGTGACCCATTGTGTCATATATGTGACCCATATATAACAGAATACTCTTCATTTTACGTTGTCTGTCTCCCGTAATTAGGAGATTTACATAAAATACTAAAAGTGGACTGCATTGCCACTTAATTGGATTAATGTACTACTAATTTAGCCCTTAAATATTAAATCTTATATCAATAGCAATTATAGTTAATTGAACCACTCATTGCTATAGCAACACTGGATTTAAAGGTAACACTTTGGGAACGATAGAGCTATGACAAGCAGTATAACTATAACTTTGATTCATTTGTTAATAACACACTAATTTATAATGCAAAATAAGAACCAAGTTAAACTTGAGGTATTTGCAATTAAATTATTCCCCATCATCAGTAGACTTACCCTACATTGTCGACTTGTGACAGACATATATTGTAGAACACTGGAAAATGCATCATCTATTGTAGTGTGGGTTTGAGGACCCTGAGAATAAAATTAGTATAATTAAAACTATATGTGGAAGAAATTGCTTCTGTTTTCATACAAGCGTCTTTATACCCATTGAAAACACCCTTTAGTTAGCAGACCCCATAGTTGTTCTGTATATTCGTCGATTATTCTACTCATATGGACGTAGCCAGCCTGATGATTCAGTCCCGCTATGCAATTGCCATGTTTATAAACTATCAACACAATCAATTTCTAAAGAAATGAATAATGATACCGAGTTGAAATTTGCATAGCGGGACCAAATCGTCGAGCTGGCTACGCCACTGTGTGGAACAAGCACCTGAACAGTATCTGGCAAAAATACAAAATTATATGTTAAACACCTGGTCAAAATGAATGGATTTTTCAGTTGTTATTGGCCATTCAATCTCTCTCTTTCTTGCTCTTGCTAACGTTGCCGTACTTTGACGTCCAGATCGACATAGAACACAGTTGATTCGTTCTCCTTGCTATATGGAGAGAAAACTTCTACAATTGAGCAACATGCCAAGCTTTCTAATACTTGTACTGTACTAGCTTGAAATAGTTTAGTTCAATTTAAAATGCTGCATAATCCATTGAGCTCCTGAATGTTCTCTCGTTCACAAGTAAAATTGTCTTGCAATTAGACAGAGTAAAATTATAAATCGCAATTCAACTTAATGGGTTAACCCATTCACCTAGCCTGCTCAGCAGCCCCAACCTGGAATTGAAGTGGAATTTCTGGCTGTGATCAGATAAACGTACTCTACTTTATAATTTTATTGTCTTAAATATGCTAGACACCACATTATACAGAATAAACATTTACAGAGGTACCACTTCTTTTCAGTGCCTGTGATTGTGGCCTGACCTTAACAATGCTATCATCATGTTCCTAGTGCCCTTACGAGAGGCATTCACCCCACTGAAATCATTCGAGTGACGGACGTTCAGGGGGTGAATGTCACTTATATTAAGCGCGGAGCTGTTGCTAGGAACATGACCAGAGTACACTTTAATGGCAAATCCTGGCGTAGCAGCTAGTAGTTATGAGTCAAACCTCTGTATCATACTCTGTGCTCATACAGATATGTATATGGCATACAGTAAACAGGTCCCAAATGACTGCTCCAGGGGGGTGAAAGCATAATTTTTCCATGAAATCGAATTATTTTATGCTGTATATTTACTTAAAATCTCATAAAGAACTGTCATGCATCGGACCAAGAGTTTGTGCAAGATCGATCGTTTCATCGATCATTCGTTGGCAATCGTTGTTGATTTCAGAGCTTTGTTTACATGTGTTTGAGAGATGAAATACTATACCGCCAAAATACGTTGTAATCAAATATAATTATTTAAAATATATCAACGTTTAAATTCAAAAGCAACACGATCTACCTTGTCAGGCATTCAATCCACCTTTTTTCTTCGATTCTTCTATCCTTGATTGCTGAGAATTGACGCGAACAAACAAACAACGCGATCAACAAATAAACAAAAAATTTCGCGGCAATTTGCTGCACTTCCGACAAGCTGCCGAAGGTGTACCGACTGTAAACCGAAAACATAAGTGCCAAGTGGCAAATTAAAGATACACAAAAACATTTATTTCAGTAAATTTCCCTCAGTAAAATACAGTTTAAGTGAACAGTCGTTACCCTAAGAGGTTAATTATCACATTTTATATATAAAAAATAAAAGTTTAGTGATTTGTTTTCGGTTTTACAAGACAAAACTTTCACCCGGAAATAGGTATACGATAGAATACCGATTGGATTACGATAATGTACGAAGGATAAGGGGAATTTAAATTCTTTGAATTGTCGCAATTTCGGTTCTAATTGATACAATTTATCGCAAACATGCTGTTTTCAGTACAATTTTAGAAATGTTTTCTCAAATTTTGCATCCTATTTTGTATCTCATGAGCTTCGTTGCAGTAATTTCTTTGTATGTACTAAATTATTAATTCGTGTAAAATATTTACATAAGTTTATGTAGTGTAATATACATATTGTTGCTAGGTGAACGACGCTTTGTACATATAATCTGGTGTGTTTGACAACATTTAATACATGACCTTCATTCAATCGATGAATTGCTGAAAGCCAGTGTAGTTTTACCAGGGTTTAAAACTATCCAAACTCCTTGAATTGACAATGAATTCGCAAGGCGATCGTACATTATTTGGCCGTATTCCCGAGAAGAATGTATATTTTCTCATCGACACTTCTGGCTCAATGTATCATCAGCTGGGATTTGTTAAAAGCCATCTTATCGAGGTAGAGTTTCGAAGTTTTTACTGACATGTAGATGTGATTTTTATAGAACTATATTTTCAAGAATTTAACGGTTAGGTATAAAGGGTTTAATATATTTTTCTAAGTTTAATATTAATCCATTAAGTCGCAATCCACCTCAATGTTTCCCTCTATTTACTTCATGGGAGAGTGTTACAAAGTTACTGTAAGTCTTATTAAAGAAGTTATCTAGCCTATCAGCCAAAGTTTAGGTTAACTGAGTAAGCCACACAATATGACCCAGCTGTTAGGGGTACACTACATAACACTTTAAATTATAATAGTCTATAGTTGTATCCAAAGTTTTTCTCTTGCAAAACCCTTTAAGCTCTATTGTGGTTTAGCCGTACAATTAATTGTGAAACATGCTATAAGTTGTACAATTAATTGTGAAATGGATTAATAACCCAATGAGTGCATGGCAGAATTCATCACTTGACGAGTAAAATTGTCTGGTGTTAGAGAGAGTAAAATAATAAAGTAGGCAGCATCAGGGCACAATGCAACTCAGTGGGTTAACTAGACACATGGGCAGATAGGCCAGTTAACCCATTAAGTGCCAGCGCTCTCCCCTTGATGAGTAAAATTGTCTGGCATTAGACAGAGTAAAATAATAAAGTAGGCCGCATCAGGGCGCAATGTGACTCAATGGGTTAACCTGTTGAATAGCTGCACTCTTTAATTCCTTTGACGATTAAAATCATCTGGCATTAGACAGAGTAAAATGATAAGATAGGGTGCATTAGATATTTGCAATCTCTAATGCATAATACATACTGTGTGTTTCTACATTTTGTTAGGTTCTCACAAAGCGAGCTGTCCTCTCACAAGATACCATGTTCAATATAATTGAATTCAATGAACGCACAAATAAATGGGCCGATAGCCTCATTCAATGTGATACAGAGACAGTCAACATTGCCTCTCAATGGATTAGCAATCTTACTTGCGGTACATCAACCGACACTATGACCGCCCTGCTCCTAGCATTTAACGACCCTGCCACTGAAGCAGTCTACATGGTGACCGACGGGCTACCAGACCAGCGTCCGTCGGTTATCCTGGAGAACTGAGTTCAATGTTGTGTACAGTTCCAGTGCATTCTGTGTATCTCAAGGGAACTTATTCAGATCCAGCCGCATGTGAATTTCTTAGAAATCTGGCTGAGCAGACGAGAGGGTCGTTTCATATTGTGAAGTTGTCAGAGTACCTTGGTAAAGTCGAACAAGTTCTGCCAATTTATACTTCTACTAGCAAACGTTATGAGAATGATGGTGAGTTAATATTGACCATCTAAGTGGCATTGTGCATGTCTGATAGCTAGTTAATATACACCCAACTTTGTTACCTAGCTTAGTCTTTTGATGCAAAAATCATTATATTAATTAATATAATGATTTTTGCGTCAAAAGACTAAGCTAGGTAACAAAGTTGGGTGTATATTAAGGCATGCATGCATCACTCCAGTAAAACAGCCAGCTTAGCTAAGAATACATTGTTATTCGATCACTCACAAACCGATTATGCTCCCCCCAAAAAAGAAACTCCAAACATCCGATTTGAGGACTAATATCCAAAGTCCCAACTTGTAAATGCCCAGGTATAGAACGGAACGTTTTTTATAATAATAATTATTTAAACTCTCAGTTGTTATAGTACTTTTATCTAATGACATAATATTTTTACTTGTAAATATATATAGCATATACTAATTAATATTTTATTCACATACTACGTAATTCCAAAGCAATTCAGTTATGATAATTAGATCAATGATTAAATCTTAAAAAACATTCACTAAAGGTTGAAATGCTTTCTTTTCAGTGCCTGCGCAAATTGAAAGTAAACCTTACATTGACCTAAATACCCCACCAAGTTCTAGTTATTTGAGTAGAAATTATGACACTCCCGGCATTCGGAACGCTGTCTTAGACAACAGTCATACAACCAAATTTGACTCGACAGTACTGGATTATGCAGACGCTCTGATCAAGGCTCGAGGTCTGGCACAGTCTGCTGGGATACGGTGCTCCTCCACACCACTTGCATCCTCGGTCATGAAAGGTGTTAAAGTACTTGCTAGGCTTGATCGAGACGGATTGTATTACCTAGGACAAGTTAAAGAACAAGTAAGTATAGAGATCGGTAGAGAGATAGAGTCTAAGCTCTAGCTTGTAATTGATCTCTACACCTCTCTATATGGACACCTCTCTAATATGGACATCTCTAATACTGACACCTCTCTAATACGAATTCTTCTCTAATAGGAACTCTTCTCTATTACAGACACCTCTCTCTAATACAGACACGTCTCTAATACGGACACCTTTCTAATAGGACACCTCTCTAATACAGGTATTGCCTGATCGGGATACCTCTCTAATACTGATCGGGATACCTCTCTAACTCTGCCTCTCCAATACAAACACCTCTCTAATGCGTACTCTTCTCTAATACAATTAGTATAGACGCCTCTCAAGTATACAGACACCTCTCTAATACCGACCCCTCTCTAATACAGACACCTCTCTAATACAGACACCTCTCCAATACAGAAACCTCCATTAATTATTATAGACACCTCTCTAATACAGACACGTCTCTAATACGGACACCTTTCTACTAGGACACCTCTCTAATACAGGTATTGCCTGATCGGGATACCTCTCTAATACTGACACCTCTCAAACTCTGCCTCTCTAATACAGACACCTCTCTAATGCGTACTCTTCTCTAATACAATTAATATAGACGCCTCTCAAGTATACAGACACCTCTCTAATACCGACCCCTCTCTAATACAGACACCTCTCTAATTAATACAGACACCTCTCTAATGAGTGAAGTAATTAAAAGAGAACTAATTTGAAGAAACTTACCTGGGAAAGTATGGTCGACACACTAGATCCATACGTTTAAACAAATTTCTTGTAAAACGGAACAACTATTCTCGCACTATTATTGCCCAATAGAACTCTCTTTTAATTAGGACCCCTATTCTAGAGGCCAAAGAATACCGAATCATTTAAGAGCATGATATCCGAGCTTGTAACATTCCAGCTCCTGATCGCAACGGCTAATAATCCTCGCTGTTGACTTGGTGACTGTACTAGAAAATTAATAAAAGGAAATCAAACCACCAAACAAAAGTTAAACCACGTAACAAACCTGAACAATTAATATATTCTAGGGTTCCAACGACAGTTTTGTCATAAAGTTTGAATCATGTCCAGGGCTAAGGAAAACTGCCCCTCAAGAGATGTCAGTTCAAAATATGATTGCATACAAAGACGCGTTTCGTCTCAACATCTCATTGGGCGACAAAGTCCTGGCTCCATGGCAAAATGATGGACGATATGGACCCGGTACCGTCCTGGATGGATGTGAGAGAAGAGACACTCAGGTCGAAGGTACGTTTAGTCTAGTCTAGTCTAGTCTGGGTTAGGAGACGGTCTTGAAAGGCAAGTGTGGGGACCACGGCACCATAAGTCGGTTCACGTTGCAAAATTGCAAGAAACTTGCAGCAACGATTGTGACACCTTCCCCTTACAAAAATCCCTTTTACTTCAGGAGAGGACGACGGTGAATTGTTAGTGACTTTCTTCAATGGAAAAACAGTATCGTTGAAACGTGGTATTGCAATACGTGTTCCCGAGAAGAAATTTAACCGAATATCGCTTGATATTCAGCTCCCAGAGTCGCAGAGAAGGAAGCAGAGGCTTCGACAAGAAACACGAAGTGCTACTCATGAAGATTGTTCACGTCCGACACCTAAAACGGTGTGGGAATTGGAAGAACGACACGAATTGCAATTGGTACTGTTCTTCATTTTTTAATTTATTTTTTATAAGACTCTAGCCCCACATGCTAAATTTAAATGTTCGCAACAGTCAATGGTAAAAATCAATTTGAAGAAAATTCACTAGGCACGTATTTATTATTAATGTTTAATTTGCAGTATTTCTAAAACAAACATTTCTTTCCTCAATTTGCTTTTCAAGCATGGTCGTAACGGTCGTAAAAATAGAGTCACGATCTTTCTCAACGTACGACCAGTTTGTAATAAACGTAAATTGTGCCACATATAAATCATAAGTAAACTCTAGTTATAATCACGTATTTTCAGTTCTAAAATGTTGTGTTTCGGCTGATGAGAAAGATCGTTGCTCAATCTTTACGACCGTTACGACCATATGTAAACTAGGCCTTTAACTTAATAGAAGTTCGACTGTAAAAACTTAATTATGGCAAACTTAACTCGAGACAAATCGCTCTTGTCCTATAGCCTGTGGTTCCGCGTTGTCTTATAGGAAAACGAAAAACTAAAGCAAAAGATAGACGAACAGATTAAAGAAAACACCAATCTAATACGTGCTTTGGACCTGAACATTACCAATACGACGAAGGCCAGGGACTCGCCTGTGATTGGTAGAGCGACTTCACGTGACCTGATAGACTCGTCCCTGATTGGTACGGCAACGTCATGCGACTGAAATACTCGCCTGTGATTGGTAGAGCGTCATCGCGTGACTTATTAAGAGACTACGATAGCGGGGTGTTCTCGGATGAAGAATATGAAGGATACAGTGAAGAAGATATGACAGCGACTTACAGCGAAGCATCTCAAGTTGATGTTGGCCGCTATGATAAACAGTGTAAGTATTGAGGCCAAAGTTGTAGTCGGACAAAATTTAATCGCGTTGCCAGCGCAAGAGAAGCGACATGCAACACTTGCAATGATTTTCTCGTCTGGTAAGACAATTGAAAAGCCGGATTCTTACAATGGAGGATAAATTCATGATTGCTTCACAAATTTAGCGCTCTCAATTTTATACACAAGTTTAAAAGTTTCATCACTGAGAAGTGTGATCTGACCAATAGAAATAAAAATCCCTAAAAGTGTATAACTTTGGAACTGATGACAATGGAATGCTGGATTAGCTACCCAAAATATATTTTTCACTGCCCAGGTCCACCAGTCAAATAAAGCGATTTTCATTGGTTGTAATTTGAAATTTTCTGCAATAGTTGCCGAAAGTCAAATCATTTGCAACAATTGCCGAAGGTATCAAGTTACAATTGTATTGACGCGCAGAACAGGTACACGTGCGATTTCGTCTTTACTGCACGCTGGTGATGCAATAAAATTTGACCCGTCGCACGTGAAACCTGTCCATAGGTTTATTGTTTCTCTGCTTTAGATGACCTATCATTCACTCCTCGCTTCTCGCTGGGAAAGGAAAGAGTCTTATTAAAATCCGATAACAATATCGAAAAACCCAAACCTTGGCGATATTCAAGTGCTGGCGCTCCCGCTAAACAGCCTCGTTTTCGTGAGACAGTTTTGAAGAAACCGCGCGAACCTGGCGAGAAGTCAACTGAGCGTCCAACACATGAGGAATATCAAACAGTCGCGGGCGTCTCATTCCCTGCTGGAACAGGTGAGAAATACGTCATGTAAATTATGTGAAAGTATATATTGATTGTTACCTCTGGCGAGAACTGGGAGGTTATGTTTTCATCCGCCTTTGTATTTGTGTGTGTCTGTTATCACGATAACTTAAGAAATATCAAACGCCGGTATTAAAATGAAAATTTGTGGGAATGATAAACATTGCCCAAGGACAGATTGATTAAATTTTGGTTAAATGATTTTTTTCTGTGACAAGTGCACTTGTTCAAAAGCTAGCATGCTAGGTTTTGAACAAGTGCACTTGTCATAGCCCAATTGTTTTTTATTAATTATTTTGATTTTTCCCAACGTGGGCCTTCAATAGATCGTAAATTCGGAGAGAAGCGACAAAAATGGCATCCGTATCGACAGTTCGGTGACGGGAAAAAAAAGTCCAAAGAAAATATCTCTGCAATTTGGGAAAGGAAATATCTAAAACACTCAGAATATCAAGATGCATCTGGGGTGAAATTTCCTTCAGCTACAGGTAATCCTATTAGCTCTAGATCAATTTCTACACTCATGTAGAAATTGATCTGGAGCTAATAGGTCCTAGAACTAATTAAGTCCTTAATTTCGTCCTAATTAAGTCCTTCGGTAGAACTAATTAAGTCCTTAATTTCAGGCTCGTGATTCTGTCATGCTGGCGCATGTACCCAAAATGCAAGAATAAAAAATGTTACGATGCGGTAATGTTACCGTAGTAATACAGTAGGCTCACTTTTCCAGCGCACGTGCGATGAAACATTGCCGAAAACTTTGCATTTTACCAGTGCCAATTGTGTGCGAGATGTCCGCTGACATTATGAGAAAATCTGCTAAACCATCCGTCTGAATATACTTTGATGTCATTGAATTATCTCATTTTTTCCAGACAAAAAATTTAGGCGAAGTCTTGACCCAAACTGGAGTCCCGATACAGCACTGAGAAATGCAGAACGTTCGCGCAATTGGGAAGATGGCCTGGGACATGGTGATGACAAGAAAAATGCGCGATATGCTAATAAGCTAGAGCACATGAGATCAAATAAGAGAAGATATTTTAAAGATATCGAGGATAAAGTTGCCGTCGAGGAAGGAAGGGAAGAAAAACGGATTCAATTTCGAAGGTAATATAGTACTTATAACGTAACTGTAACCATATATTACATCCGTTACATACATTAAGGCCACCTGTATATATTATGAGCAGTATCTCCATAAGGAACTATCCATTCATGCTTATAGTGAGGCGGATATGTGTAAAATTATTGATCAGTAGTTCTCGTTGAGGTTAAAAGCATCAAACTTTTACAATTGATGTAGTTTTATTTGCTTAATAGATATTTGAAGTGGGGCCATCGCTATTTTGCTGCTAACTCCTGAAAACGGGTGATTAGTGATTTTCTTCTATTGAATTCTATTATAGCCAAAAAATGTAAAATTTTGTATTCAATTACAACAAATATGACTTGCATCATCAGAAAGTTTATAAAAAACTGCATATAAGACGTTTAGACAGTTTTTTGATTTCTGAAATAGTTTTCGAATTATAAACTGTTAAAAACGCATTTTCAAACATCGAATAATTAATTAGGGACTTTTAGCGAGATAATGTGCCTAATTTACAGCAATAACCATTGGAAGAATAAAAAAACTGTTTAAAAGTCTTTTATGTAGTTTTTTACAAGCTTTCTGATGATGCAAGTTATATTTGTCGCGATTGAATTCAAAATTTCACATTTTTTGTTGTAGTAGAATTTAATAGCAAATAATGCTAACAGCATCGTAGCTCTCTAAAAAAAAAACAGTTTCACGATGGCCCCACTTTTGCATGTTGTTCTACTCATAAAAAGATGCTACTGTGCACAATTTGGTGCTTTTAACCCTCTTCGGAAACATCCATGCACATATCCGCCACACTATTATAACAGACTTACAAAACGTTGCGCTATGTCGTATATACACACGTATTCAAAAAAACGCACAAGTTGCTACAAGTCTGCAAACAAGTTGTTACAAATCTATTCACAAGCTGTGAACAAGTTGTGTTCGCATTGCGCACTGCTTTTTCCCAGTTTTTGTAACAAGTTCGGAACAATTGTTATCAATTTTTATAACAAGCTTGATGGCATTAACAGACTTCTTACATGTCATTACTCCGATACCGTCACGAGTCGAACCTGCATCTTGTTAACTGCTATACAGAGTCTCAAATTCTTTTCGATCACACATTTGGAAGGACCTGCGATTTTTATATCCAGAATCAGCGAGTTTATACTTGAGTAAGGCAGCGACAGACAGGCTTATAGACCGTAGATTTCAAATATGAAATATGTAGGGTGGAGCAAATTCTTGGTTCTGCTCTACTGGGCTTGAAACGCAATAGGACGCAGAACCTTATGTTCTATTGAATTTGAAGGGTCCTGCAGCAGAGACTTGAATTTGGGCCAGACTGAAAATACCATTTTTGGAATCTAGGGTCCATAGGCTTTCTGTCGATGCCTTTCTCGTGCATCACTAGGCCGTACCTGGAGAAACAATGCTGCTTTCTCCAGCAGTGTAATCGAAAAAGACGTGAAAGTTAATATTATGCTTTTTCCAACTCAGTTTATCTTCTATTGAATTTCAAGTCCCCTGCAGCAAATATATGAATTTGCGCCAGTCTGAAAATTGTATTTTTGGAATCTTCCGTCCATAGGCTTTCTGTCGATGCCTTACTCGTGCATCAAAAGACAGTCCATGAAGATACAAAGCAGGTTATTCCAGGTGTATAATCGAAAAAGACGTGAACGTTAATATTATGCGGTTTCGAACTTTGCGTTCTATTGAATTTCAAGGCCTCTGCACCAGAAAATGGAATTTGGCACGGTCTGAAAATTGTATTTTGGGAATCTACGGTCCATAAGCTTTCTATTGATGCCTTACTCGTGCATCAAAAGACAGTCGATGAAGATACGAAGCAGGTTATTCCAGGTGCATAATCGAAAAAGACGTGAAAGTTAAAATTATGCGGTTGCGAACCTGATATTCTATCGGCTTTCAAGGCCCTTGTAGCAGAGACTTGAATTTGGGCCAGCCTGAAAATTGTATTTCTGGAATCTACGATCAATAAGCTTTCTGTCGATGCCTCATTCGTGTATCACGAGGCCGGACGTGGAGATAAAAAGCAGTTTTTTCCAGCTGTGTAATCGAAAAAGACGTGAAAGTTAATAATATATATGTGAGGGTTATGGTTTGGATGTTTCGAATCTGATGTTCTATTGAATTTCAAGGTCCCTGTAGCGGAAACGTGAATTTACGCCGGTCTGAAAATTGTATTTTTAGAATCTACGGTCCATAGGCTTTCTGTCGATGCCATACTCGTGCATCAAAAGACACTCCATGAAGATACAAAGCAGGTTATTCCAAGTGCATACTCGAAAAAGACGTGAAAGTTAATATTATGCGGTTTCGAACCTTGCGTTCTATAGAATTTCAAGGCCTCTGCAGCAGAAACAGGAATTTGTCACGGTCTGAAAATTGTATTTTTGGAATCTACGGTCCATCAGCTTTCTATCGATGCCTTACTCGTGCATCAAGAGACAGTCCATGAAGATACAAAGCAGGTTATTCCAGGTGCATAATCGAAAAAGACATGAAAGTTAATATTATGCTGTTTCGAACCTGATGTTCTATCGACTTTCAAGGCCCTTGTAGCAGAGACTTGAATTTGGGCTAGCCTGAAAATTGTATTTCTGGAATCTACGATCAATAAGCTTTCTGTCGATGCCTCATTCGTGTATCACGAGGCCGGACGTGGAGATAAAAAGCAGTTTTTTCCAGCTGTGTAATCGAAAAAGACGTGAAAGTTAATAATATATATGTGAGGGTTATGGTTTGGATGTTTCGAATCTGATGTTCTATTGAATTTCAAGGTCCCTGTAGCGGAAACGTGAATTTACGCCGGTCTGAAAATTGTATTTTTAGAATCTACGGTCCATAGGCTTTCTGTCGATGCCTGATTCGTGCATCACTATGATTAGACGTCATCACTAGACGATAAAAATTAAACAGGTTTTTACAGCTGCATGTCTAATCGAACAAAACCTTTCTCTTCCCAAAATGAATCCGACACAACCAGGAATCGAACCTAGCTTCTCACACGTGCAACACTTCGTCCTTACCACTAGACCATCTCGCCTACACTTGCTCTAACTCCCTCTTTTATTCTACTTAACTCTTTTTCGTCTCGGCTGGAATTAATTAACAACGATGCCTGACATTAAAATGCTTTCGACAGAACCAGGAATCGATCCTGACTTCACACACTTGCAACACTTCGTCCTTACCACAAGACCATCTCGCCAACACTTGCTTTAACACCTTTTTATTCTACTTAACTCTTTCTCGTCTCGGGTGGAATTAATTAACAACGATGCCTGATATTAAAATGCTTTCGACAGAACCAGGAATCGATCCTGCCTTAGCACAATTGCAACACTTCGTTTTTACCACTACACCATCTCGCCTACACTTGCTTTAACTTCTTTTTTATTCTACTTAACTCTTTCTTGTCTCGGATGGAATTAATAAACGATGCCTGATATTAAAATGCTTTCGACAGAACCAGGAATCGATCCTGGCTTCACACACTTGCAACACTTCGTCCTTACCACTAGACCATCGCGCCTACACTTGCTTTAATTCCTTTTTTATTCTACTTAACTCTTTCTCGTCTCGGGTGGAATTAAAAAACGGTGCCTGATATTAAAATGCTTTCGACAGAACCAGGAATCGATCCTGCCTTAGCACAATTGCAACACTTCGTCTTTACCACTACACCATCGCGCCTACACTTGCTTTAACTCCTTTTTTATTCTACTTAACTCTTTCTCGTCTCGAGTGGAATTAATTAACAACGATGCCTGATATTAAAATGCTTTCGACAAAACCAGGAACCGATCCTGGCTTTACGCACTTGCAACACTTCGTCCTTACCACTAGACCATCTCGCCTACACTTGTTGTAACTCCTTTTTTATTCTACTTAACTCTTTCTCGTCTCGGGTGGAATTAATTAACAACGATGCCTGATATTAAAAGGCTTTTTGACTACAGCAGGAATCGATCATGGCTTCGTACAATTGCAACACTTCGTCTTTACCACTAGACCATCTCGCCTACACTTGCTTTAACTTCTTTTTTATTCTACTTAACTCTTTCTTGTCTCGGGTGGAATTAATTAAAGTGGTTTCGATAGCCTGCGTAGCAGGCGGTATTCGCGGGCACGAGAGAATGGGAAGCTAGAAATACCGCCTGCCCAAAAACTACACATTCTGAGTTCTCCCCGGCAGCTGGGTGCCGGAGCATTCTGATTGGTCAGAATGTTGATTTTCAATTTTTGATTGACAGGAGTAAAGAATTAGAATAATTAGTGCTAATTTTAGAAGTTACTGTTGCCGTATTTATAATATAAACTATTGTTATTTTCGTAATTGATAACGATATATCGAGTGATGGCATACACTAACCAAAAAATAACGAATGTATTAGGTTAATTGAGAATTAAGCGTTGAAAAACAAAAAAACATGGGCAAATAGCAAAGACAAAGGCAAATAGCAGTACCTCTTTAAAAATTATGTCGTGCCCCCCAAAATATGAGTTTGCCCCTCAATTGCGCCCCCAAATTCTGAAGCCTGGCGCGGTGGCGCCGCCACTGGTAAGGGGTTCAGGGTTGCCAAGTCCGGGATTTTATCCCGAGATCTCTGGATTTTTTTAAGCAGTTGGGATTTTATTTTTAAAAGTCAATCTCGGGAGTTTTGGGGGATTTTATTGACCAATGAACAATTTTGCTAAAAATCCAGGGTTTGTCCACTAGTATTTTATATACCCTATTGAGTTGCATATTTGATGTCAGATTTCGTTTCTACAACATGACGTATGAAGCTATCCTACCCGAAATTGGCACGGAAACCACCTAAATTAAATGACGTAAAAAGTGAGAATATCGAGAACTTTTAGGGAATCTCGGGATATTTTGGGAGCTTGCTTGGGATTTTTACAAAATTATAATCAAAAAATATAAACATAATCAAAAAACTACAATCAAATTCTACATATATTTAAATAAGTACTGCAAATTACTCTTCAATAAAAATCGACATTGACACTTGACAGAATTGCCGCATTGTAGTCCTACGGATGACAAATTTATTTAAACAGTTTTCTACCATATCATGCAATGTATAAATATTATACATTACTGAAAAGTAGAGCCCGAGCCATGCTCCCTCTGAAGGCGACTACTATATGTCTTAGAGATTAAATTCCAAGTATCCATGTATCGATCCATACACATTGCAAGACATTTCTAAAATTATATTTAAACAGAGCACATTACATAATTTTACATAATGTTATTTAAACAGAGCACATTACATAATTTTCTGAGTCAACTGGAAAGCCGCTCTCACTCAAAGCTAGTCACCTAGTGTTATACAATGACAAAATGATATCATTCACACAATATATTTCTACGTTTTGCTATATATAAATATTAAAATTATTAGTTAGGCTGTTGCGGTATATCGATATACCAAAAATTATTGAAAAGTATCAGTTTCTGTTTGTATATTGAAAGAGGAATCTTTTGTATTTAATACATAATACGCTCTCAAAACTGCATGAATATATACTTTTCCACTTATGACTAAATGTGCATTCAATTTTTTAAAATTTTTGATGTTTCTCAAGCGGCAAACAAAATTAACTTACTTAAGAAGTATGTTTGGTGTGTGCAATGAAGAGATTTTGGATGGTATGCCAAAGAGAAAATTATATCTGAAGTTCAGTAAGTTTTGCTTATATTGCTGTATAAATATGGCATCAATTTTACAGCATCAATGATAATTGTGTTTAAATTGACAATATTTAACTGTTATTTTGTGTTTCTCAACCGCCAGATACATTTAAAACTGAAGGTAGCTACAGTACAGTAACTATGGAAACTACAAAATAAAGCTAAGTAAAACAATGTAATTTTGAGAGGAACGCCAAACAAAATTTCAGTTTTGAACACTTTTCATTGCAAATACAAGACACTGACAAAAATTGCCTCTTAAAAATTAAACGTCATATCAAGCTTTTCCATGCGCTGATTGGAGTTATTTCAAGAAGGACAAAGACAATCAATGTGTCAAGCTTGTAGGAAAAGTCTTAAGTAAAACATGTTTGTTTACGTTGGCATTGCAATATAAGTTGTCATTTCACTTGTCAAAAAGTGAACTTTAGAACGTAAACATCAGTGGCTGATTGCAAAATGGTCGCTGATTTGAGTTATTTCAAGAAGGACAGGAAGGAGTTATTTTGGGTTTTTTTTCAATACTGCAACAGCCTATTACTATAAGTATGTTTGTACCTGTTCAGTGCCATCTAGTGACGTCCCAGGTTTATACACACATTTCTTGAAACACTTATCTGACATTTTCTACAAGTAATAAAAGTTGAAAATATTGTATCTCCTATTATATAATTCAAACGTTGGTCAAAGTTGGTCAAAATAGAACTGGCATTTGCTCAAAGTTGGTCAAAATGGAACCGATATTTGCTTAAAATTTAAGGTCAAAGTCGGTATATTGTGGTGAAAAATTGGCAAACCTTGTTTATTTTGGTCGACAATTAGTCCAGAAATTAATCCAGAAATTAGTCCAGAAATTTTTTTTACGACTTGGTCAAAATTCTATTAAATGTTGGTCAAAACACGACAAACCCCCCCTCCCCCCCCCCAATGTTGATGCCTTAGCAACGTCCCTTTAGTTTAAAGACTTAGAATACCTCTACATAATAATAAAATTACTAAAGACTGTAAATGCTGTTTTGTTTACAACTATTTACTCATACTGTCCTGTATAAATTGACCCCTATAATTTTGGCATTCACTGCCCTGTACTGGTTTAATATTAAGGCACACCAACTATCAAAACGCACACTCTTTGAAGATACAAACGAAACAACAATAAAACTCCACTATAACATTAAAACGATACTACAAGTCTACAATATCACACTACTATACTCAACCTGTATCAATTCTTGTGCGCTTGCCAAAGCAACTTGTTGCTTGACTTGCTCTAAAAGTTGGTCTCTTTGAGCGCTACTAAGCCTTTCTCCAGACGTAGGATAGTCGAAACTACTCATTCCTCTTTTAAAATAAAATAAAAAGACTTTTTGGTTGCAAAAATTGAACTTTCAAAATATATTTTCAATTCAAAAATTTGTCCACTTCGAAATTTTGAAATTTGACACACGTGCGAAGCCTGCGCACGAGTTCGTTATTTTCCATCGCCCAAAATAACATGCCTGCGAGCTGACTTTAAAAGTTTATATATACACTCTGCGAAACAATAACAAAATCTTGTTTGGTTACTCGGATTTTGCAACAATCATGTCGCTGAGTGTTTATTGCATTACATTGTGGGATTAGTCCTGGATTAGTCAATAATTTTTCCGCGCTTTTCGTTTTGCTTTATTTTGACTCATTTACATGGGCGTACCGGGCGGGGGGGGGAACGGAAGGGACGGCAGCCCCTCCAGTTTATTGGCCAAACAAAGCCAGTCGGGCAATATTCGCTTCACATTCGGGCAATATTGGCTTATTATAAAAATATATGGGACAAATTCTGTCAATTTTATGGGAAATTCTGTCAATTTTGAGGGAAATATCTTAAATTGTACATTTAAATAGTTCTTTGATTATGCTTGAGTCACCTAATGTTTTTCTTGAGTCTTTAACTTTTTCTTTACCTCGTAATTCTACCAATAAATCAAATAAATTTGCCGACTATATCCCACAAACCCAAATCACTAAGTATCAATAAAGACATTATAATATACATGTTGATTAATGTTAATTAGGTAAGAACGTTTTTGATTGGCTGAAATGCGTGCAAAAAAGAGCGGGAATTTTTTGCCTCTTTTTCAGTAATATAGCAGCTCCAAGAAGCTTAATTTCTATTGGCTGAAGCTTTAATAGGGGTGGCAGAGGGTGGCAGCCAATCGGAGGCTGGACAGCTGTCACGTGAAAAGCTCGACCAATGAAATCGCGCTATTTTCCCATAGTGTTTGCGAAGATTTTTGGCCCGTCAACTGAATTTGCATTGGACACAGAAGCACTCAAAAAATATATATAAATATTAAAATTTTTCTATCAAAATGCAACCGTGGCCTTAGTATTATAAAAGGACTGGCGATATGTGCAAGAATTTCTGAG